TAATATAATCATCATCATCATCTCATCTTCCTCCCTCCCAATATAGGCACTCAAGGTGGCTAACAAAATTTAAAACAGTCCAAGTTAAAACAATACAAAGCATTAAAAATACAAAGTTTAAAAAACAATTGAACAATTTTTAAAAGTTAAAAACATTACATATTAAAATGTAAAAACTCTCTATAAAACTCTTAATATAGACACTTGTAGTTTATATTGACTATTATTACCCTAGTCAGTTTTATTTTATTTTTATATATTTATTAATTTTAAAATTTATACCAACATTCATATTTATATCATATTTATATTTTGACTTTTTTTATAATAATAATTATTTTCTCTGCTAATGGTTTCTCTTCCCTAATTAACCTTGTGGTCACATGTCCCCATTTAAGCCCTAAATATTGAGGCACTTTACTCCAGTCCTCTTGGGATTTTCCTGACTTTTCCTCTCTTAATTTTCTGGGTCATTTTATCTAATTCTAAAACTTCGTAAAGTTTTAAAAGCCATTCATCTACACAAGAAGGAATATTTCTATTTCCCCACCATCTAGCAGATACCATTCTGGTGGATATTATCGTGTAAAACAGTATACATCCATATATATATATATATATATATATATATTTATATATATATTTCCAAATTGATCTTCTATCATGTTTAGTAGAAATATCTCAGGCTGAAATTCTCATTTGATTTGTAATATTTCCTTTATTATTCTTTGTATACTTGTCCAAGTGTTTTAAGCTTCTTTACAGCTCCAAATATTACACTAGAAGTCTTTTAACTGATGTTGTTGCTTACTAATTGTTGTTGTTGTCCCCCGTCACAATCCATGGGGGAGGGGGGTAAGAAATAAATAATGATAATAATAGTAATAATAATAATAATCTAATGACAGAGGACCATTATAGAACTAGCTACATAGATCCATGTTAAATCCTTGGATACAGAGGATGAGTTTCTGCCTTGAGCCCAACACAAACTCCAATTCCCAGAATTCCATAGCCTTAATAACCCAGTTTGGCACCACTTTAACTCTTCGTGGCACAAGGCTATGGAATTCTGGGAACTTGGAGCTTGTTGTGCAAAATCCATTTCCCAGAATTCCACAGCCCTTGAGCCACGAAGAATTAAAGCTCTGCTCTGGGCCCCACAACAACCTCCATTTCCCAGAATTCCATAGCCCTTGAGCCAGACCAGGGCAGTTAAAGCGGTGCCAAACCGGGTTATTTCCGCAGTGTGAAGTCCCTCTGAGGCGCCTTGGGTCCCTTCCTGGGAGAAAGAACAGAAATAAATGCAATAGACATCGAGCTGCAACTTGGCCAACTTCCGCACTGCAGAACTGATCCGGTTTGAGACCGCTTTAACCGCCCTCCTGACTCAATCCCAGGGAATTCTGGGATTGGCAGTCTTGGGGGACCTTTAGCCTTCGCTGTCAGAGACCTTTTGTTTCACAAAAACTCCTTACAAATCCCAGGATTCTAGGTAGGATAGAGTCATGCCGGTTAAAAAGGTGTAAAACTGGATTAATTGTGAAGTGCAGATGAAGCCTAATCCATTACGCATGCGCAGCGAATGATCTGCCGGAGCCGCCATCACGTGATCTGCTGGAGATAAGGAAGAAACCCTCTTCCCCAAATGCGCATGCGCATCCCAACTAACAAGCGGATTGGCCATCGGCGAAGGCAGCTCTTTATAGTCCTCTCCTCCGGCCCCGCCCCTCAGCAGCTCCGTCACGTGACAGGGCCCCGCCTTCCCAGCGCGGAAAGGTCCCCGGATGTCGAGAAGGCCGGAGGGGCGAGGTCACGTGCCCGGAAGTTAGGCCGGAAGTGCCCGGGGGAGCGAGAAGGAGGGAGCACCGGGTCCGTCGTTCCGTCGGTCGGTGGGCGGGGGCCGCAGCGCCTCATGTGACGAAGCCGCCGGAGCCGGAGCCGCCGTCGCCATGGGCTGCTGCTACAGCAGCGAGAACGAAGCCTCCGACCAGGTCTCCGCTTCCGGGAACAAGGGGAAGGGAGGGAGGGAGGGAGGGAGGGAGGGGGTCTCCCTGCCATTCTCTGGGCGAAGGCTGGGAAGGGACCCTCAGAGGTCATCTGGCCAGGGTCGCTTTCTGCCCTTTCCGAGTGACAAGGCCTCTGAGGCGGACTGAGGCTCGGGCCTTGGACTGAGACTCTGGAAACCCAGTAGGCGGCTTTAGGGAAGTCACACTCTCTCAGCCTCCTCTGAACCAACCCTGCCAAGAAAACCCCAGGATAGGGCTGCCAGAGAAACGGCTTGAAGACATACGTCAATGGCAAGGCAAACTGAGCCCATCTTTCTGGGGCTGAGAGAGTGTGACCCGCCCAAGGGAACACAGTGGGTTTCTATGGCCGAGCAAAGGGGATTCGAACCCAGCTCCCCAGAGTCGTAGTCCAGGATTCAAAGAGGAGGGTTTGCCACTGTTGTCTTTCTCTGAGGCTGAGAGAGTGTGCCCTGCCCAGGTCACTCAGTGGGATTTGAACCCTGGTCTCCCAGAAGTCCAACGCTCAAACCAGGCTGCTTCAAAAATGTAATGAGATATCTTGGAGACGAGACCCAAGTCTAAACATGAAACTTATTTATGTTTCATATGTACCTCATACACTCAACCGGAAGGTGATTTTATACACAATGTTTTCAGTTATTTTGTTTGTGAAACAAAGTTTGTGTACACTGAACCATCAGGAAGCAAAGGAGTCACTGAGCCACCCATCGAGAAGTGTTCAATTTAGGAGCATTTTGGACTTTCCGGGTAAGGGAAGCTCAACTTGTAAAAGGGAAAGGCAGCATGCCGGTGACTGGGTTTGTATTTTTAACCATTGGCTATAATGCTTTTCCCCCCGGAAACTCCACAGACCAGCAGCCTATGGCTTCGCAGGCCACACTGCTCCATGCATCGCTTCAAGAAGTCACACTATTTCAAATGTTTTTAGCCTCCTATGGCTCACCTCAAGGGACGCAGTGGCTCAAGTGGTTAAGGCAGGGGTAGGCAACCTTTCCCCTTTAAGGGCCGAGGGACTTCAGCTCCCAGAAGCCTCAGCCATGTTGGCCCATAGTCCCATGTTGGCCAATAGCTCCTGGGATTCTGGGAGCTGGAGTCCCTCGGCCCTTAAAGGGGAAAGGTTGCCTACCCCTGGGTTAAGGGACCAATTCTGACCATTGGAAAAAATCGAAAGGTTGGCAGTTTGAGGCCTGAGTGCTGCATGATGGGATGAGCGCCTGTCACTGGTCCCAGCTTCTGCCATCCTAGCAGTTCGAAAGCATGTAAATGCAAGGAGACCACTTCTCAGTGGGAAGGTAAACAGCCTTCTGTGCAGTCCTGCTGGCCACATGACCACCGGAGCAGTCCTCGGACAACGCTGGCTCTTTGGCTTAGCAACAGAGATGAGCACCGCCCATTATGGTCAGACACGACATGACCACCTTGTCATACCTGGCTTTACCTTTACAGTTCACTTCAGGGGCCCTTCTGCAGCCTATCCCTCCCTCCATCTGTATGGTTGCCAGTCCAGGCAAAGTTTCCCACTTTGGGCAACTAACTCCGATGTGTGCTGGAAGCTCTTCCACGGTGAGGGGGGTTGCATGCCCATGTGGGTTCGTGTAGGTGCACATCTTGCCTCTGTGGCAAGACTCTTTCTTAAAATTTGGAGGGGAATAGTCTGAGCATTGGACAATGACTTGGGCGAAAACACACTGCAGAAATAATACAGTTTGAGACCACTTTAACTGCCCTGGCTCAAATGCTAGGGAATCTTGGGAACTCTCATTTAGTGAGACATAGCCTTCTCTGTCAGAGAACTCTGGTGCTACAATAAACTACAATTCCCAGAATTCCTTAACACCAAGCCAGGCCAGTTAAAGCGGTCTCAAACTGAATCTCGTTGTGAGAGAAAGGTGTGATATAAATCCTTGAAATAAATAAATACATATTATTTCTGCAGTGTGTTTTGGCCCTAGGGTCCTAATTCCCTTTCAGCTATGGAAACCCACTGGGTGACCTTGAGCACATCACACACTCTCAGCCTCAGAGGAGGGTAAAGGCAAACACCTTCTGAACCAAGTCTTGCTGAGAAAACCCCATGATAGTTTTGCCTTCGGCCCATCATAAATTGGAAAGGAGTTGAAGGCTCACAACAAAAAAGTGTTCTCATTTGCACGGAAGGTTTGCAGAGCTCTCAGGCTGACTCCAGATCGGCTGCCATATCAGGTGCCATGTACCTCTGTAGGTCACTTGCTGGGTTCCTTGCCTTCAGGTCTGCCACTGCCGCTTTCTGAAAAGGGGACCAGGCTTGGATATATCTTGTCTGAGCCATCAGGACTCTGCTTATGTCTTCATACCTGGCCTGAAACTTGGTCCATTTCTACACAGTATAAGAGCGCAGCATGTGTGGTTTAGGTCCAGGGTCTTCTCTATAGGCAAAGGAATTGCTGGTTTGCTTGAAGAACCTGTGGTAGAAGGCTGCTCTTTAGAGAGAAACAAGCTTTTCCCCGCCTGCCCTTTGGGTTGGGAGGTACCCCAAGGCTCACCTAGTCCAGTCCCTGCAGGAATCCACAGTTCAAGCACATCCCTGAGAGGTGGCCTTCCCGTTTCTGCTTAAAAACCTCGAAATGGAAGAGATCCCACCACCTTCTGATGGAGCCTGTTCTGCTGTCAGACAGTTTGGAAAGCCACAGGTTGGGAACTAATACCTTTTCCTTTTTCCAGCCTATGGTCCTTATGGCTCTACTTTTTCGCCATTGATTTCCCTACTTGCCTATCCACTGCTCCTCTGCATCTTTCCTGAACCCTGTTCTTTGCCTTGCAGCGATGCTGACTGCTTCATTGTTGTTGTTGTGTGCCTTCAAATTATTTCTGACTTATGGCGACCCTATCACAGTGTTTTCTTGGCAGGATTTGTTCAGAGGAGGCTTGCCTTGGCCTTCCCCTGAGGCTGAGAGAGTGTGACTTTTGCCCAGGGTCACCCAGTGGGTTTCGTGGCTAAGCAGGGGATCGAACCCTGTTCTCCAGAGTCATAGTCCAACTCCCAAACCACTACACCATGCTGTCTCATGCTATTTGCTCGCTCCTTTCTAATTCCTCAGTCCACACTCTGTTTAGCAAAGTGGAATATCCTTTCCAGTCCTGCTAGTATCAACTGAGTGCTAGCAGGTTTGCAGGGAGAAGGCTTTCTTATTTATCTGCCAGTTCCTTGCCCCAGTATAGGAGAACAGGTAAGTCTTGCTAAATCTTTCCTGTACCTGTTGCTTAAGTGTTGTAACCAACTGCTGCAAAAGCCATTGCCATGCCTGCATAGCAAAGCTTCCTTGCCTGCTCTGGGAATGTTCTTTAATTAATTCTCCACCCAGAGCTTGGAAAACTTATTGCTTTGGGACTATGGGAAGCGTAGTTCAAAACATTAGCATTTCCAAGGTCTGGTTCCAGCTACAGCTGACGGTCCTGGTGTAACCCAGCAGAGCCTGTTTGGCTGCTTTTTCAGCTTCCCAACCCTCACCATTGCGAGTAAACAAGAGTCAGGCGGTCTTCTTCAGTTCCCTCTTCCCATTTCTGTACTGCAGCATAGAAAAGAGGGAAGGCCCTTTTGGCATGGCCTCTCTTCCTATTTTGCAGACCGCAGCCTCTTGTCTTTGGTGTGTGTGTTCCCCCCCTTGTCTTAAAGCAGAACATCTCAAGTTCAAGTGCAAAGTCTTTCTTGCAAAGAAATGAATGTCCTCTTCACTGGCCCAAATGCATGCACTGGGTCAGGGTTAACAATAAAGTATGTCTGGGAGGAAAAATGTTTTGTGAAATTGTGAGGGGCCGGCTCTTGGCGATTACTTGCCTCTCACTCCCCATAGGTAGCTTCTCCTTGAAGTCATGCAGATATGGCAACTTGAAATTTATTTTTAAGTTACATTTTCTTCCCAAAAGGGTGTTTGAAACAACTTAGTCAGACTGTGTTCCTGTCTTGGGAAATAAATAAAAAAAAAATCTCTGCAAAAGTTTTTCACTGTGGTCTCCTGGAGGCAGTGCTTGCTGTAGGTGACCAGGTGAGTGACTGGCTTAAAGGGCTATTTATATATTTGGTGCCTAAAGAAACACATAAAAGGATGGACTCTATTAAGGAGGTCATGGCTATGAATTTGCAGGTCTTAAGCAGAGGAGGACAGGGAGCCTTGGAGAGGTCTCATCCACAGGGTTGCCATGAGTTGGGATCGACTCAAAGGCAGTTGACAACAGCAAAGTTGAAGCATAGAGAGCCAGTGTGTCGTAGTGGTTTGAGTGTTGGACCATGACTCTGGAGACCAGGGTTCGAATCCCCACTCGGCCATGAAGCCCACTGGGTGACCTTGGGCAGTCACATACTCTCAGCCTCAGGGGAAGGCCAGGGCAAACCACCTCTGAACAAATCTTGCCAAGAAAACCCCTGTGATGGAGTCACCATAAGTCAGAAATCACTTGAAGGCATACAGCAAAATAAAGTTGAAGCACAGACACAGTGTTGCTACCCACTTAAGGGACCTAAAACCTAGGAGAGAGCCCTCTTTGTTGATTTGTTCTGCTCCCACCATGTGCTTCTCTTTGGGGTGCATGGGTGTGTGTTGGAAGGCTGGGCAGCAGAGAGGAAGGGTGCCAAAATCCCTCTGGCCTTTGTCCATGGCTGAACTCCAAGAAGGTAGCACACTTGCTTAACTTCATAATCCCAGGCCGGACAGCTGTGCTGAGTTGTCAGTCTTTTGACTTTCCCTTCTCCTGCTGCTTTTCCTGACAGAAACAGCCCCCACATGTATAAAATTCACTAGAAGCAGCTGTTCCTGATATAACACGTCAGGGGCATGCCAGAGTACAACTCCCATCATCCCCAGCCCACAAGGCCAATGAGACTTTCAATCTAGAATGTCCAGAGGGCACTGGGATGGGAAAGGCTACTGTTAAGAGCTGTAAATGTATGGCGGTGGGGCATTTGAGTGTTTGTTGTGGGTTTATCCCAGCATTGCTAGGAGTGTTTTCCTATAAATGAGTCCAAGTGCTTCCTTGCTCCCATTACATGGTGTCAGTGCTGGGAGAAGGGAGCTAGAGCTTCCCTGCTCCTGGAATGATTGCTTGCCTTTGGTCGCACTTTGCAGCCACTTGGAGTCCTTACATTTTAAAGGGCTCTGCATTCTTCCGGTTCCTTGTAAGTGGAACATCTGAGACGATCCCCCCGACAAGCCCTTTGCAACATGTGGAAGATGTAGCTGCAGTAGTAGTAATAAATTTTATTTCTTGGTGGTTTGTAGTGGTTTGAGCGCTGAACGACTAGGGATTTAATTCCCACTGCTCAGCCCTTGGGCAAGTCACACACTCTCTGCCTCAAGGGAAGGCAGTGGCAGACCTCCCCTGAACAAATTTTGCCAAGAAAACCTCATGATAGGCCTTAGGGTCACCATAAGTCGGAACTGTCTTGAAGGCACACAACAACAGCGTAGCATGTCACCTTCTGGGTGCCTTGCCTAGCCTAGAGATGTAAAGTTTCCACAAATTTTGAACCCCTAGGGAAAAACTCTGTGTATGTGTGTGTGTGCGTGTATTTAAAGAAACAGAACTTTTTGAAAAATCGGAAAAAAACTTGAGTGTTTGTGCCCTTTACCTTCCCCTGGGTCTTCAGCCTGGACTCCTCAGAAAAGCATTGCTGAGTCCCAGGCAGCCTGCTTTCTTTTCAGGGGCGCTGGCCATGTTTGCCAAGGCAGAGCAATCGTGGGAATCCCTTTTGGCGGTCCCATTTTCCCTGGGGTAGCAAGGAGCTGCTTCCAGAGCCATGGCTTGGTCACCTCCAATTTTAACTAGCTTTTTCCAGGTGTTTTCTACTGCTCCAAGCAGCCCCCCCCCAGTCTGGTTCATAAGGTGGGGCAGGGGTGGCTTGGAGGCATGGGGAGAAGCCCCAGAGAAGGACATGGCCCTAAAACTCATTGTTAGTCCCAGCCAGAGTAAATCGATGCAATCGTGTAAGTGTTGACTTACAAAGTTCCCATTGATACAGTGGAGAAGAGATTCCACCTAAACA